CGAGTGAGCGTCTGCGAGCGCTGGGACGATTGAAGCCAAGGCCTCCTGCATGGCGCAGCTTTCGTATAATGATTTGTTTACTACTCTCACGATCTTTATTCCTTGCACATGGTCGCAGTCTCCTTGACCGCAGAACCCATTTACAACTGTTCACCAATTTACGTTTCGTGAGTCAAGAGATTAAATGACCTTTTCTACTTCGCCTATTAATTCACAAATCCTTTTATTCTTTCTCGTCCATGAAATAATCGATTACAAAATAAAAGTTCATGATTAAGAGTATTTCATACAGTGAAGAGGTTTTGAGGCGATTGGAATAATATATTACATCGCCAAAGAATTATCGACTTGTAACGCTTGCAGTTTTTCACTGTTTTCGAATTGCATTGTCTACGTGGATTCTCGCGGTAGTTTGTTTCTCGAATATTTGTCTACCACACTATAATTTGTCAATTACACATGAAACTTTCACAATGGAAACATTCGGAATTATTGGAAGGAAATTATAGCAGTGTAGGACGTAAGAAGAACGAAGTTATTACGATGATTATTTGACTGCAGGCATATTTTTGCAGACGAGTATGACTGCATTTACTTTTTTAGGATTCATTATAAGGACGTGAAACAGAACCTTTAGATGTTGGGAAACTTACAGATTTTTGATTTCAGTTTTGAAACTCTGGAATGCATTGACATGAATTAATGATTATAATTGTATAGTGCAATTTTTAAGAACTTGTTGAACTACTTAGTATCGATAATGTCGCGCAGGACTGTTCGATTAAGTAATTTCCTGCAGTTTCTGTTGGAGGCATCATCTACAGACTAATATTGCGGGGCGTACCTTAAGAGAAATCATACGCTTCTTATACCGTGTGCATACGCATTAGGGGCAGAAACGTTTTGTCTATTTAACTTTTACAATACACTTCAAAATAAAACATTTTTGGCAATATTTTGACAGCGCTTATTCTATTATAGTTTGATCAGACACTAAAACATACTCGTAATGTTAGCAATTATGAATGTTCATTTTGTTATAGATTTGCGGACAGATTTGCAATTTGTTTCGTGTGGCTGGTTATGTGGATACCATTGTCACTCATTAATAAGGAGAAACTGGAATATCCGGAAATTAATTTGTTTAGTATGTGTCGGCTTAGAAACCAGTCTTTATAATCAACATGAAAAGTACCGACACGAACCTCGTTACCGAATTTCATCGTCTAAGATTTTCTCGGCTATCTCTCAGAAGTTTTTGCGGTACATAAAAACTCGTTTCTACAACTTCTTGAATCGCTCTTTAAAAAAATGCCGAACGTAGACAAAGGTTTCCGACATAATTAAGCTCGTGATGAATAACTCGGCGAAATTGTATAACGCAGGATTAGCTAATAAGCGACTGAATAGAGCTAGTGGATGCAAAGATTATACTTTGACAAGTGAAAAAAAACGTGCATACATGGGTCGAAAGTATCAAGAATTAATTGGGTGAAACGACTGACAGTTACATTGTCAGTCTGATTTAATGCTCGAACTACAAATCACACTAATGCATTAGGTCAGAACTGACTTAGGTAAAACTTATTTTTTACATAAGAAAAATAATATGCTTAAGATTGTCAGTTTCCAAAACGGTATCTAAAACTGTCAACTTTATTCATTTCATTGAGAGCACTGCTATGATCCTACTGTAAAACCGAATAAGCGATTAACGTGCACAATCTATTCAGTAGATGAAAGACGAAGTAGAGGAGCATATCATTTTCTTGTCAAGAAAAATTAAACTTAAAGTGTAAATATAAAAATGATTTAAAACGCAAATATATAACCCGTTTAATTCGGTATATTTTAAATCGATTCATCCCATTTGTTTTCGTTCGGTACACACTTCAGGTGAATATTTAATTAAAATGTACACCCGCTGTACTGATTGCGAGCACCGGTAACCAGTGATGCAATGCTATGTAGAGGTGTGCAATGTATGAATCAATAAATGAATGTGAGGTCTCCCAAACACTTAAGCAGGTGCAGCTGCTTAGAACCGACCAACTGTGACTCGATCAGGGGCTGACTTCCATTTCATATTTCGTAACATCAACTGCAAAATTTCGTATTATTTGAATTGTTTATGTCCGTAAATTACAAAATTTATGCGTAGAGGGCAAACTTTAAACTGTAAATCTATTTGTTAAAGAATAATAACTCTTATTTTTAGTTGCAAAGATTCTTTTGAATAATTTCATCAAAACAATGTGTTATCGTATATAGCTGTGAATGTGAAACACTTATTAATTGGATCGCTGGTGACGTAGGTACCTTTTTATTATGATAAATAAATAAAGATGTTGTCTGTAAGCATGCTTACGCATTTTGCATACAATAACTACATCCTATTAATAATATTTGTATTTCAAAATATTTTAGCTCTGAGGATGATCGCTATGCGATCAAAATGATCATAAGCTGAATAAAAAGTATTGATACCAGACAACTTCTTTATTTATCGTGAAACACGTATTTTTCATGCGCAACATGTCGAAAATCTGTAAAAGACAATAAATAAAACTACAGTTTCGACAAAAAATGTATATATTTCTGGAAAAAGTTTGTAAATTCCGATAGCACAAAAAATTTTCTCCATGATATTTATGAGTTAAAAAAACTTGGAAGACCGTTCTTCTGTATTTTTATATAAAGTAGGAAGACTTCATAAAAATAACTAGACGCACTTTGACCCTGAACTAGCCGCATACGTAGGGGAAAGAAGTTCCCGCCGTTCAGGCCACACGAATACAAGCAG